GGCTGTGGATTGGATTTGCTGCTGTGCTGCAATAAACTACAAGGAAAAATTCATGCCCTCTTTGGAGAAGGAGGATATATTCTGACAGTTCGGAGCTGACAGTACAGAGCGGGTCTAGTAACACATAACCACTTATCACTCTCAACAAAAGATAGACAATAAGAACTTAAATATTGACTCTATTTCAATAACTTTGACCCGTTCACTTACCAACCGGGTTCACTTATTTGCATAAACAAATTATCTTATTACTCTATGCATTTGATAATAGAAGCAAAGAAAAGAAAGTTGGTTACCCCCAACAGACTAGTTAAGACTCTGTAAATTATACCTAGACCCTGTCTAGGTATTTAAAATGTAGACCCCGTCTACATAAATCACCTTTCCTTATCTGAGTCTCCCGGAGACTCAATGAAAGGTTGTCCATAGCCCTGGCTATCAGTCTTTATAATCAGTTTCAGGTACGGACGCGTCGGGGAGATTGACATTCATCTCAGAAGAGAAAGACAACAGACATACACATACACACAGTGATAGGTAAAATCAATCTCTCAAGTTTATTAGTGGGAAGAAAATGGGTCTACCAAGTAATAATCGGACCCACATACCCGGGCGACATATGTTTTACATGTCTCCTCGGGGAATGGGGGAGGGGGCGGTTTTGACTGATGGGTCCCCCCATTGTTTAAAATGTGCACAAATCCCAAGAAAGCGTCTATGAAATGTTTTATGGACCTTATCGTTTTTTCTTCAAAGAAATCAGGTACCTCAAATGGTAAATGTTTCTGATATAGATTATGATCTAAAACTTGTATACCGTCCTTGCAATTAGGGATTGGATCTGGATTGGGAACAATATGTTTTATAATGTGTTTATCTATATCCTCAGTAATGTATTGTATTATGAGACTAGTTTTGCAGTCTGTACAGGCCATAAAGCTCTATATATGCCTATGTTCTGTAATGTTTTCAATGTCTTGAGGGATCACCAGTCTCAGACAAAAATTCCCTCAAATTCTCGATATATAGGTTCAAGTGGGTAAAACGGTTTGACCCTGAAATATATCGGGTATCTGGAAATGGTAATTTTTTCTATAAATTGACCTCTTTATGAAAATATTACCGACTGTTGGAAAATTAAAAATTGCAAATGGCTTATGGGATACTGTCAAAATGAGATCAGAGTCCTTTCCCTGACTGTCTTTCTGAAAAATCACCCCACAGACACAATATTTGCAAGTCATTTTACAGATAATACCTTCTTTCAAAGGATCTCTTAATTGTCCCAACGTTTGGCCTATAAAAATATGCGGCACTGGTATATGACAATTAATTTTATACAACTGACCCCTTCTGGTTATATACTTCAACTTGATTATAAGGTCTATTTACAACATCTACAATAACAATGTCTTGTACTATACTTTCATCACGACCTTTTTATAATGTATCAGCAACCCACATTTACACAATGTACATGTCATTACATAGACCTCCCAGTTGGTGTCACCATGCGTTCACCTTTCTCAGGTCAACAACCAATAAGGTCTAGCTGAGAGGGTGGTGCGTCTTACACCTTCTGACAATAGGTCTTCAGTGATTTCGGTCTGTACACTTACCACCTCAGACTTACTACTCATACAAAACAAATTATCTTATACTTCTATATGTAGAAAATAATAAAACTTTAGACACAGAATGAGTGACTATAGGCAATCTCCCTGAGATTGCTTAGTCTCCCTGAGACAATTTTTTTTCTCCCTGAGATTTCTTAGTCTCCCTGAGACAATTTTCACTAACACTCCCGGAGTGTTGTGTTCCCAGAACACATATTGGCTTAAATGGATATCGGACTAATCAGAGCCTCCCAGTTTCCTTATATCCAACTTGTACAGGTTATATAGAAAATAATTCTACTTACCGGACAAGTGGATGGTCACTGAGCGGGTGATTCCGATATCCCGGGCGAGCCCCCAAAACTGTTGGTTCTGTTGACCCTTAGACCCCTGGTCTAAGTTCTCTGTCACTCATTCTGTCTCCTCAGGCCTGGAGAAGCATTGGTTACAAGTAATCACACATGAGACCGTCTTGTAAGTAACCAAAAAACTTCTAATTTATTCCACAACGAAAGCTCTCTTATATAGTACAATATAGTGTTAACTTTTTCAAGAATAAGGAATGTCTATAATATTACATAAAAACTTATCTGCTACATACAATAGAATCTGGCTAGATACTTTTCAAGGCTGTGAACATGATCTTTCTCAGGCATTTGTAATTAGTTATAAGTAACAAACAATTATTTTCTCATGGAACAGAAATATTTGACATTTAATTGTATCATGACAGAAACAGGTGCTTGTTAATACAAAGAAATAGTTGAATACTTTCATTTCACCGTCTCTACCAAGGCTAAGCTAAGATAAAAGATAGAAGAATGTTGTGAGTATAGTTCTGTAATACATAACTGACATAGCATATTTTCATTAACTCATTCTGGTTATAATACAAAAACAATTAATCAACATGTTAGTACAAAATGGAGTGGGGAAAACAAAATGACAGACCTAAAAGACATACATTTCCTTCACCCTCCCACACCATGCAATATAGAGGCCTGAATACGCATGCGCGTGCCCGTATGGCACCAGTAACTTCAGTCTCTTGGTAACAGGATGAATGTTGGGGTCTTCAGCGAGACACTTTCATTGGTGCACTTACACTCCTATGGTAAAGTATCATTGTAATCCGTGGCAGGATTTGTATAGCAAAGCAAACACTGTGTCTGTATAGCAGGACCATCTACACAACCCAGTGCCTGGTGAGTATGGGAGAAGTGTCATGTCTCTGTGTGCCGTGTTCCTGTCATCTGCCAGGGGGCAAAATCCCTATCACCAGATCCTGGGACTAAGGCCCAAACCATGGTCCTGAAAATGACCGGCTCCTGGTGGTCACCTCACGATGAGCCCTTCACACTGTCGGTGTAGGCACTGTACTGTAGGCCACATCTCTCAGGTTGGATGTTCCCTGACTGATGCAGATACCTAAACATGGAGTGAACTGACCCTGAGCACTTCTCTGCCAGGTCCAGACTGTCTCCTGCCACATGCAGACTGCCTCCCCTCAGGAAAAACAAGATGGAGTCCTTCACTCTGCTCTCACTAAGCATGCTGGTCTCTGTAGTTCCATCCCTCATATCAGATTATCAGGCCATTTCTGTTCAGGACTGCATATTCCACAATGCTTTGCAGCTGCACCTCCTGCTTGAGAAAGTCCCTGTCATTGGCTCCTTTAATACCTCTTCTGATTGGTTCTGTGTATTACAGTCTGAGAGGAGAAGGGAGGGGCTAAATCCCTGACTGCCTTGTGTGTATCCAGTGCCAAGTGTCAGATTTCACAGGAGATGCCAGTCAGCAGGTTACAGCAGTCACAGATAGGAGTCATTTCCTCCCTACACAAGGATCTACACCCCCATACACCCCCAGCACACAGGCCGGGGCCACACTACCAGACGCTTCTCGGGGCTGCAGTTCCTCTGAGCTCCACAAGGTGGGGATCTCACTTCTACCCACACAGGAAGTGTCTATGGAAGACAGGAAGTGATGTCAGATACAAACAGGAAGTGATGTCAGGTACAGACAGGAAGTTTTGGGCGAGAGGTGAGTTAGGAGGAAGCTGAGAGGAGACGTTGCTGGAAGTGGCAGCAGAGGAGGTAATAAGATGTTATTTCCTATTTACAACCCAGTAACCCCCCGTCATGTCCGTCCTCTTCCTCCATAGTCATGTCAGTCCTCTTCCTCCATAGTCATGTCCATTCTTTTCCTCCATAGTCACTTCCATTCTCTTCCTCCATAGTCATGTCCGTCCTCTTCCTCCATAGTCATGTCTGTCCTCTTCCTCAATAGTCACTGTGACATCTTTTATCCCCAGCAGATGATGATACACACATATATAGTGTGGGAAACCAGATTTACCCCTTTCAGGGGCAGAACATTCCCCCACTTCAGGGGCCGGAACATTCTCCTCATTGTGAAGCTGTGTCACCTTTCCCCCAAATCACTTTCTTACCTTATCAGTCTATATCAAAGGATTATACCACTTTTATAAGTGGTGGGGGGTGGAGAAAGCCTATGACATCACACTGACCTCACAGCTCCTCCTCCCAATGTCCCTCCATCCAGAGTCAGAGAATCCTATGACATCACACTGACCTCACAGCCCCTCCTCCCAATGTCCCTCCATCCAGAGTCAGAGAATCCTATGACATCACACTGACCTCGCAGCTCCTCCTCCCAATCCTCCCTCCATCCAGAGTCAGAAACCTATGACATCACACTGACCGGGGGGGGGGGGGGGGGGGGGGGGGGGGGGGGGGGGGGGGGGGGGGGGTGGGGGGGGGGGGGGGGGGGGTGGGGGGGGGGGGGGGGGGGGGGGGGGGGGGGGTGTTGGGGGGTGTGGTTCGCAGCTCCTCCTCCCAATGTCCGTCCATCCCAGAGACAGAGAATCCTATGACATCACACTGACCTCCCAACTCCTCCTCCCAATGTTCCCTCCATCCGGAGTCAGAGAATCCTATGACATAGAACACTGACCTCACAGCTCCTCCTCCCAATGTCCCTCCATCCAGAGTCAGAGAATCCTATGACATCACACTGACCTCACAGCTCCTCCTCCCAATGTCCCTCCATTTGGCTCCTTTTTTTTTATTCTATGTAGGTATTAGGATGTGGGGGAAAACCCTTGGCATCCTCATAAGCAAAAAAAGAACTGTTGGTCCTGCGTTGTTGTATAATGACGTCAGAATTCCTTTTAACCTGTGTGGTGTGGGGGTCCTGTGGGGGGAAATTATACCTCAGCCTGAAGTGGGGCTTTAATAAAATTGGAGACCTGATTTCTGGAGAAGTGAGGAGGATTCTGGGAATATCATTTGATGTGTCTCTTTGTGTTCAGTTGTAGAGAGTTTTCCTCCTGTGAAGTCTGGAGATCATATGACATCACATTGCCTCCACCTCCCTCCCTGATAGAAGAGGAGAAAGAAGAAGAAGATTCTAGAAGTCACCAGAGAGATCACTGAGCTGCTGACAGGAGAGGTGAGCGGGTGCGGGAATTCTGGGACATTCTCCAGTAAACAGACAAGGGATGTGTCTGGATGGTGACTGTATCATTGTGTGTGTCAGGTTCCTATTTAAGGTGTCAGGGTGTCACTGTCTATTTCTCCATGGAGGAGTGGGACAGTATTTAGAAGGGACACAAGGACCTCTACAAGGACGTCATGATGGACAATCAGCCGCCCCTCACATCACCGGGTAAGAGGAGACTTTATTGTAAAGGAGGAGAGCAGTACGGAGGATCCACCTAAGATCCCCATCATCTGATAAACACATAGAAACAATGGATTCAGTCAGTGTGTGTGTTTTCCTACAGATGGAATATCAGTCAATGGGAAATTCTCCCACCAGAGAGATGTGTCCCCGTCCTCTGTATCATTGTGTTCTGGGATTCCACACAGGATGGGTCACACCATCCCTCACCATCATCAGGTAGGATGAGGAACAATCACTGATAGTATCATTAGGATCTGTACATTATCTGCATTGTTACCATTGATGTCATTTTTATTATATATTCAGAGTGTGGAAAACCTGAGAGATCCTAAAGTTGAGGTTAAAGAAGAGATAAAAGAGGAGGAGGATGAGGATGCGGGGATGGAGGAGTCAGAGCTTCGCTAAAAGAACACAAAGATCTGTACCAGGACACCATGTGAGTCAATCCAGCTACAGGAACCCACCAGAGAGATGTCCCCGGTCCTCTGTATTCCCGGATTCCACACAGGGAAGGTTCACACCATCCCTCACCATCATTCAGGTAGATTGATGACAATTATTGGTAGTTGTGGATTTATACACAGCATGTTTGTTACAATGAATGTTTTATTTATATCTTTCAGAGTTTGGAATCCTCGGGGGATGATAATATTGATGTTAAAAGAAGAGATATAAGAGGGGGGATGAGGAGTATGGAGTGATGGAGGAGAGTTTTCAGAAGGACACAAGGATATGATGGAGCCACCTAATACCAGGAACCCACCAGAGAGATGTCCCCGTCCTCTGTATTCCCGGGATTCCACACAGGAAGGTCACACCATCCCTCACTATACAAGGTTGGTGGATGGGAATCTAGAACATGGACATTGTAGAGACTAGGTCTCCAATCACAAAGCGTATCCTTCCCGTATCCCAGTATGTAGTAAGATGCTGCATTCTGTTTTTTTTAGTATGAATCCTGCGGGGAATTTACCACTGGTGTCCATAGCAACACTTGTAAATAGCTTGTTGTTAAGGAGAGGGCAGCCACCAGTGTCACCCAACAACCAGTAAACAAGGAGTCAGACGGCCGCCAGTTCCCCACTGACTAGCTGTGACAGGTCTGGTATGGGTTTTTGAGGGGAACCCCCGATGCCAAAATAATAAAAATAAAGGTGTGGGGTTCCCCTCCAAAATCAATACCAGACCTTAGTGAGTGCCCACCCTTCCTCCTGAACCATACCAGGCCACATATTCTCAACATGAGGTTGGGTGCTTCAGGGCAGGGATGCTCTATCCTCCGAAAAGAGCCACCTTGTCCCCATGGCGGATGGTGACGAAGGTCCTTCCCCACAACCCTGGGACAGTGGGTTGTGGGGGGCTGTGGGTGGGGGACTTTTTGGGAATCTAGAAGTCACCTTTAAACAAGGAGGCCCCCAGATTCCCACCCCCCACAATGTGAATGAGTATAGAGTAGTACATAGTACCCCTTATTCATTCACCACAAACATGTAGTTTAAGAAAACACGGAAAGTTAATTTTGAAAAAACAAAAATCAAGAAAACAATATCCCCCTGATGGTCGATCCATCGATGATCCAATCACGATACTCGCTGTCAGTGCCTTCTTTGTGACATCACCAATACCAACATTGCCTCGGTCCAGTGATGTCACCAATACAACATGCCCTGGGTCAGTGACATCAAACAATACAAACATGCCTCCGGTACAGTGACGTCACCAATACAACATGCCACGGTCAGTGTGACATCACCAATACCAACATGCCCCGGTCTGTGACGTCACCCAATGACAACCTGCCCCGGTCAGTGGTCATCACCAATACAACATGCCCCGGGTCAGTCGGACATCACCAATACAACATGCCCCGGTCAAGTGACATCACCGAGTGACCCACCGTTCCTTAGTATATTTAGTGGCAGGAAGGCAAGCAGAGGCTGTCAGGACAGAGGGAAGTCTTTCATTGGGAGCGGAGGCTTTTTCATTTACCGAGTCAGCGGTGACAGCGACGCAGTCGTGGATTGATGATGGGATCAACACCGGGGGACTATTTTTGCTTTAGTTTTTGCTTTTTTTAATATAAGGACTTGTTTAAAAACTGCCCTTGCCTGTCTTTTTAACAGAAATACTTTTGTGGGTGTGAATAATTAGGGGTTACCATGTACCCCATACTCATTCATCATGGGGGTGAGGGAACATCTGAGGCTCCATTGCTAACATTGTTTGTAAATGGTTGTAATGGAAGAAGTCCTCTTGCCTGCAAACCCCCACAGCCACTAGCCTATGTTGTGGGGAAGAAGTCCCCTTGGACCCCCATCAACCATGGCCAATGTGCTCTGGGGGAGCAAAGCCTCCACCTGGCCCCAGAGCATCCACTCCATGTTAAGGGCACGTGGCCTGGTAATGTTACAGGAGGGGGGTCGCTTGCTCATTCCCCCACTTTCCTGACCTGCCAGGCTGCGATGCTCAGATAGGGGTTCTGGTATGTATTTCTTTGCATTTTGGCCAAGGAGTCCCCCTCAAAATCCATACCAGACCCCCCCCCCGAGGGGGGGGGAAACCCCCTACAACATTTTCTTCAATGATTTTGTGGTTGGGCCGGTAATTTATTTATTTTTTTTTATTTCTCGGTTGGTTTAGGACGCAGGGGGGCGGCGGCCGCTCGCTTCCCCTAACAACCCAGTTTGGTTTTAACTGGTTGTTAAGGATGCCAGCGGCCCGGCCCCCACTCTTTACCAAGCAGTACACATTTCCTGAATGCCGGCATGTCTTCACCACTAATTAATGACCGCATGGCATGTCATTCTTTATTTCCGTCTGTGAAAGTAACGCCTGTTCATTGCGGGTAATTACTGAGCGTAGTTCAGTGTTTGTGGTCAATACCCGCAACACGGGAATAGGAAATGGACAAGTTTTCAGGATGGTGGCAATGCGGTATTTAGGGGAAATGTAACGGGACATATCACATGTGATCGGCTTCTGTGAAGGGAGGACAATGTGTGTGTCTGGATTTTGTTTGTGTGATTGTCACAATCATAAATCTTAACATTTTACAGGATGATATTTTTCGACTCATTTCCTTGATTTAGGGTGGTGATCCGATCGAATAGAAGTTGAGGTGGACAGCAGACAGAAGAAGAGGCGTATGTGAGGGATGATCAGCAGTCTATGGAGGAGGATTGGAATTAACGGGGCACATTTATAGAGGAGGACACTCCTACAGAGATCAGCACAGGTGGGTCATGAACACTTAAATCCATCCTCCACCCATACTGCTCACTGGATAGGTCCAGAGTAGGGCGGGGGACTGTGGTGATCTCAAGCCTGTAATCCCCTTGGTCACTTTCCTGATGCTGTGTTCCCCGTACCTGCTATTCCAGGATTTCTCTCGGCATAATCTTCCTTCCTCTGTGCTGCAGACACAATTTTAGGGTATCTAGACTGGGATTTATGGAGGTTCTGGGGATCAGCTGGCAGAAAAATGATTTCATTTCACCAAAAGTGTTACTCAGACCTAGGCACGCTGGATAGTGTGATTATGAAGTCTTCTTTCCCCATGTCCGGGTCTAGTAAGATCTCTGTGCAGAACATTTTCTCCCAGGGGTTCCTTGCTCTGTTGGCCTGCTGTCTGTGCCAGGGTCGGGTGGAGGGATATATCTGTAGTGGTCTCCAGACCCAAGTCACTGAGTGCAGTCTCAGGAGATGGGAGGCAGCGGTGTGTGGATCTCTGCAACTTGTCTACCAGTAAACATTATAGGCATCCCCGATTACTGAAGTACCAAACATATTGAGTCCTTCCACCCTTACACTGTATAATTCTACGTGTATATAAGGCGATACTCGCGGTGACCCCGATGGCACTATAAACTCTATGTTGTACATTACATACTCCTTGACCCCTGTACTATATACTCTGTGTACATTACATACTCCTGACCCCTCATCATATAATCAGGTTGGTACATTACATACTCCTGACCTGCTGCACTATATACTCCATGTTGTACATTACATACTCCTGACCCCTGTTACTATATTACTCTATGTTTGTACATTACATACTCCTGAACACCCCTGCACTATATACTCTCTGTTGTACATACTACTCCTGACCCTGCACTATATACTCCATGTTGTCATTACATACTCCTGACCCCCTGCACTATATACTATTGTTGTACGGTACATACTCCTGACCCCTGCAACTATATACTCTGTGTTGTACATTTCATACTACCTGACCCCCTGCACTATATACTCTATGTTGTACATTACATACTCCTGACCCCTGCTCTATTATACTCTATGGCGGTACATTACCTGTCCTGACTTTTTGCTCTCCCCCCCCCCACTTTTAAAAAATACACATAATGTGGATTTCTTTTGTTAAAAACCCATTTTCCCCCCCGCTGGAAAATTTTATATCGGATGATGTGATTGGGGCAAAGACTTTTTTTCATGGTGGGTAAAAAATGTGATAAAAAAAATTTCCCCCAACTTTTGGGCCCTTAAAAAAGAAAAGGGGTAAAAAATGAGGGGGAGAAGTCCCCCTACCCCAATGAAGGTTTTTCTTTTTAGGATCAGTCCAGTCTTTATCTTGGTTGTTTTTTCCCCCCCTCCTCACTCTCTGACCTCTGGTGGGGCTCAGCCCCCCTGTTCTTTTATACTAAAAACATGGATTTAAAAAAGGAAGTGGAGTACCTTTTTGTTTTTGGAAAAATGGTGAAAAAAATGATAGAGGGGGGGGGGACCCTCGTCCTATAAACCCCCCATCACTGTCCCTCCTATAAAAAACCCTTCTGGTTTTTTTCCCACTCCCCCTGACTAAGGGCCATGAATAAAGAAAAGACCTGGGGAGGAGATCAGAGGAGCCTTTTCCAATTTTCCCCTTGGGGGGTGGAATTGTATAGCTCCTCAGAGACCCAAATTCCTGAGGGGGGCGGAGTCCTGGTTTGGGGGAAACCCAAACAGCTTTCCCGTCTAGTTTAAACCTCTTTGCTTTTGATTTTATCCAAAGGCCGGGAGATGAGGAAAAAACCTTTCCCAGGATTGTCTCACTTTGTCCCCCAGACGGAAAGTAGAAAATGAGGGCATCACACAGTATTGTCCCCGGAGAAAAACCCCGGCCCCCCTCCAATTTTCCCCCGGCACCCCCCAGTTTTTGATGGCCAAACGGATTTCCTCGTATTGAAAACCCAGGCTGTGCGCGACCGGGGCCGGCCCTTCCCAAAAGGGAAAAAAGCTTCTCCTTTACTGAGTGCGGGGGAAAAATTTCCGTGTAAATCTGCTCTTAAAAGGCATAAAAGATTTTCACCAGGTGAGAAGTTTATATTCCGGGCTTTAGTGCGGGGAAAGGGTTTTTTATTTAAAATCACATCTTGTTTTTTTTTCCACCTTTAAAGGCGCACACCCGGAAAAAAATATATTCCCGCATGAGTGCGGGAAAAGTTTTTTACAAAACCCATCTTTACACAATCAGAGATCTCACCCCGGGGGGAAAAAAAACCATATTCCTGTCCTGAGTCGGGAAATGTTTTTTTTTACAAAAAAACCAGTCCCTTTTCGCCATCAAAGATCTCCCACGGGGGGGAAGCCTTTTTCCTGTCCTCAGTGCTGGAAATTCTTTTTAAAGGAAGTCCCCTTCTTTTTTCCCGGGCATCAGGAATTTTCACCCCCGGGTGAAAAAGCCATTTTCCCCTTTCCCGAGTGCGGGAAATGTTTTTCACAATTTTAATCTTTTTGTGTCCAAGATTTTCCAAAACAGGGGGGGGAAGCCGTATTTTCCCGTCCCCGAGTGCGGGAAATTTTTTCAGACAAGTCTAGTTTTTTTTCAAAAAACAAGAAAC